TTATACATTAATAAATGTAATTATTTATTGTTGTCCCAGGACAACAAAGCTGTGACCTGAAGCCACCCCAGGGACCAACTATTTTCTTAGAATAAGGGCTGGGGAAGCTGCTTGGAGGGACCTGCTAGATTGCCCAGGATGAGAAAAGAAGCAAGCAGGTTTTCTGCCAGTGTAGACACCATTAAACCTGTACCAGGGGTTCAAAGAGTCAAATACTTTCAGGCCAGTGGATCAACATTGAATGTCAACATTTTAGTCATTCAAAGTAATAATTATTTATTTTTTATTATGGGAAGAGTCATTCAAAGTAATAATTATTTATTTTTTATTATGGGAAGAGCACACCATGAGATCTACCCTCTTAACAAATTTTTAAGTGTATGGTACAGTATTGTTCACTATAGGAACAATGTTTTATAGCAGAGTTCTAGAAATTATTCATCTTGCTTAATTGAAACCTTATGCCTATTGATTAGTCACTGATCACTTTTTCCTTCCCCATCCTCTAGCAACCACCATTCATTTCATCTTTGGTTCTATGAATGAGTATTTTAGACACTTCATATTAAGTGAGCTAATGCAGTATTTGTTTTCCATGTCTGGCTTATTTAACTTAGCATAACGTCCTCAAAATTCATTCCTCTTATTGCAGATTGCAGACTTTCCTTTTTTAAGGTCCAGTAATATTCCATTGTATATACATATTCTTTATCCATTTTTCTGTTGATGGACATGTAGGTTGTTACCACATCTTGGCTATCATGAATAATACTGCAATAAACACGGGACTGGGCAGGACAGGAAAACAGGTTTCAGCTCCATAGAATCTCTCCTTATCTCCTTTTCCATTTCCCTAAAACTGAAAGCCTAGAGGTTGCCAGTGTTTCTAGAGCAGTCTTGATGTGTTCCACGAGACAGGGAACAATGTGAAAGGAGGGAGCAGGTCTTGTTCACACCAGCATGGCAGAGAGGGGAAAAAGGGTTACTGTGTTACTTCCTGACATCTCTAGGGCTGGAAGGCTAGGAAGAACCTCAGCATCACTGGAAGGATGGAGTATGGCTCTGCATGGGGTATAAGAAATGGGCAGATTGGGAAGGGGGAAAGGTTGAGAAAGATTGGGAATGTCACTGGAGCCAGTGTCACTGAAGAAACTGGAGGAAGGGAGATGATAAGTGAAGAGGAGCTTAGGGGTGATGGTAGGGAGAGCTAAAGAGGCCCCTAGAATGTGTGATGTAACTCTCCTGCATGTCTCTTCCCAAAACATTCAGTAAAGTCAACATTGTTCAGCAATGCTTTATGGAGTTGGATTTGCCTTTTTGGAAAGTGAAAAAAGCCCAAAAAACAAAACAAAAAAAAAACAAAAAAACAAGGGTGGATGAAAACAGAGCATCCCCATAAAATCAGTCACCTTGGAGATCACACTTGTGTCCTTAGTGACCAACTCTGTGTCATGGCAAGGCTCTTTTGTTTGCAGTTATCTGAAGCCTGGCATGCCATATGCCCTCAGTAAATGGCTGCTGAATGAGCAAATTCACTCAACGTCTATGAAAGCAGGAGGCTTGTAAGGGTTTGCCTCTCTCTTCCTCTCCAGCCTCCCTCCACTTCCCCAGGAACATAGATGATTTTGCAGATCAACTAGGGCTTTGGGCAAAATTTCAGCTGGATTTGTTCATTCTTCTCTGATCTGCTTTGACTGTCCTTGGTCAGGATTGCAGCCAACTTGAAACAAACACAAAACAAAATAGGAAAGCAGAAGAATAAAATAACGCCAGTATATTCCTCTAAAACCCTGTCTAGTGCTAATAGAACTGACAAGAGGAAATAGTATTTAAGCAATAAGAGGGCTTTGTTCATGTCAAAGATTCCTGTAGCCATGAATGTTTCAGATGCAGAGATAAGACCCACCCCCAATCCAGCCTTCAGAGATGTGCTTCACCAAGTTCTGCTGGGAGACAGACAGCTAAGAACACAAGGGGAAAGAATTCCGAAATGATACATGTCGAATTGCTGGCCTGGATTTCAAATTCCATAGATAGTTTATGCAAAGTCTTGTACTGTTGTAAAGTGTAACACAATCCACTGGCAGATCTGCCTAAACCCGATCCCAGTTGTTTTTGAGAAAAATAAATAAACTTAAAAACGTCTTCCAGCCCATTTAAGTGGCTGTGTTCTACTCTTAGCCTCCTCAGTGTGAGACTTCTAGAGATTTGAATAACTGAAGCCATCACCTAATTCCTAGGCAATGGGATAGTTGATTCATAGCATGTTTCTTCTCAAGAAGTCACCAGTGATATTCAGAGAATTAATATTGTGCTCTCAGAACCCATCAATTTCTAGGGCCGGGGTGAGGGGAACTTTGGCAGCTAACACATTTCAATACTTTTTGATGTTTTTAAAGCAATGAAACTCTTTTCTTAAATGAAATATTATAAGGCAGCTTGATATATAAAACAGGTGAGTGGAGATGCTCTGTTTGAAATAGTAGAGTGGAAACTAAGTAGATCTTCTCTACATCATGATCCCCTGGCCAACTTCTTCATGGAATCCAAGGAATCCATGGAAGACGCATGAAAACCTGTTGTATAACCCAGCATTCAGATGTGCAAGGTAAACTAAGGGCCAAAAGATAAGACAACTTGTTCACAATTGCACACCACATTTTGGTTATCTGTATTATCTGTATTATACTTGCAGCTTTACTATAAATATGAAATTACTTCAACAAAAGGTTTATTTAAAAATAAAAGTACTAATGCTTGCAACTGCAGATTATGATGCAACCATGTGCTTCGATTAGTGTTTACTTATTACAAAGATAATTGAGACTTGGCATTTTCCAAGACCTCCTTGAAGCCAGAACCATTGCAAGAAGTAATGGAAAGAGAGGCATTTGAGTTTGCACAGATTTATAGATGGGATTCCCAGAATGGCACATAGCATAGAATATAGATGGGATTCTCAGCAAGATGGTGCCAAGAGTAAGAAGGATGGGCTGTCGTAGAAAATTCAGACCTGGTCCAGGTCATTGGAGCCCACTGTACTGAACACATTGTTAGGAAAACTGATGTTGATGGTTTTATATCTATTTTCAATGGCTTTCTAAGCTAACAGTTTGGATTTCTTTTTAATTTATAAAATTACATAGGATGATATAAACCAAAACCACCTATGTATAACAGGTTTATGGACCACCTGCAGTTGACAACTGTGCAAATTTTTTCATATTTGCTTCATGTCTCTTTCTGTAAGAAAAATAACACACCACAAATAAGATTGAGGGCCCTTTTTTCCCTGACTCCCAATGTCATTCCCTTCCTTGATACATAGAAACAACTACCACCCTGAATTTGATGTATACTTCTCTACTCTATTTTTAATTCGCATGAATCGCTGGGCAATATATAGTTTTGCTTTGTGTTATTTTTATAAATGACGTCATGATGTACTTATCCATTTGCACCTTGTTTCTTTTTTTCCACTCAATGTTACGTTTTGTGATCTCTCCATGTTGATGGCTGTGAGCTTACCATTAGGGCTTCCTTTTCATTTGACTAGAGACCATACTGAGCCAAGCATTAAAATATTTTTATATCATCCTTGTATATGAATCTAGTTTATTTCTCTTACTGTTCCTTTGTCATAATAGAATTCTGTCATGTGAATATTTCATATTTTATACATTTCTCCACCAACAGGAGAACATATAAACTATTTCCAATCTTTTCCTACTATATTTATTGTAGAAATGGATATTCTTAATCCTTGTGTATACTTTTCCATTTTACTTTTGGTTTTGCTTGTTTTAGGTGTTTATGTTTGTTTGATCTTGTTGAGGATATATCACTTTTTTTCAATAGCATATGAGATCCTCAGGGCTCTCCAGGTCAGCCGTACTTTTCAGATGAGTAGAATGCACTGAGAAGACATGAAATGACAGGACCAAATTCACAGGGAAGTTTTGAGAGAGGAGCCACATTAGAGACCAGAGGAGAAGTGTCAGTTTGGGATGACCTTCTACCAAAGGCCTCACCAATGTCAAGGACAGCTCAGCTGTTCCTATCCTCTTTCCCTCATTACACTGTTTTCTGTTTATATTTATATATGTATTTGTAATTACTTGACTAATATCTGCACACATTGCCTGCTCTAAGCTCTTCAGCATCTGTCTTTTTTTATCATTTTGTCCCAGAGTGTTTGACAAGCAATAGTTACTCAATAAATATCATTCAAATGAATGAATGAATCAGTAAACAAAGTGACATTTGAATATGCAAGAAACTCCTAAGTTTGAAGAATCCTGCTTGTCTATAAATGTTTCCTATTTCTTTTAATACTGTTTGGTATTATCTGTCATTGAGAATGAATGTGTGTGTGTGTGTGTGTAGGTGTGTGTGTGTGTGTGTGTGTGTGTATAAAGTGATGGAACTGATTTTCTTTGTTGATGGAGAAGCAAATGCTAATGTTTTCACAGTCTTTTCTCTGTTGTAATATCACTTGGAGCACAATTTACAGATTTCTTCTAAAATCATCTGCTTGACATTCAAGATTCTGTGAGATCTAATTATTCAACCCACCTTTTCTGCCACTGTCCCTCAGCCTCAGTAGTAACAGGCATTTTATCACAACCTAAGCATTCTGGGTTTCTGCTTTCCTCTGAGCCTTGCTTCTATTCCCTCCACCTGCAATGCCCTTCCTCTTATCACTGCCCTACTCTTCCAGGCCCAACTCAAATATCATCTCCTCCAGGATTTGTCTCTGTGAGAATATCTCTGTCATCTCTACCATCAAAACACATTATCTATTATATCCTTAAAAGTGTTGAGGATTACCTCTTCTGCATTAGAATGTGAGCTCCTGGACCAGATTCTGGTCTTTTCATCCTTGTTTTTTTCCTGTGGTGCCAAGAGCAAAATAGGTGAACAGTAAAGGTTTGTAAAATTGAATTTAGTTGAACTTCTGACACTCTCTAAAACATAATTTTTTTTTTATGTTTTTCCAGGTGTGTCGAACCAAGGTGATAGATCTCAGTGAAGGCATTTCCCAGCACGCCTGGTACCCTTGCACCATCAGCTACCCATATTCCCAGCTGGCTCAAACCACTTTTTGGCTCCAGGTAAGCTGAAGCTCTGAGAGCTTTGGAATCTCCAGCAGCGAGCCACAGAAAACACGGACTCCCATGACCCTTTCTGAAGATGGGTTGTCTACCTGCTGAGGGTGTTAATTGTAAGAACAGGGAACAAAACACTTAGCAGTGTGATGCTTCCTGAAATGGAATCCTAATTGCTCATGGAATGCCCCCACTGAGCTCTTGTTTTAGCAAAGAGTTTGGGATACATCTTGTCCGCCTGGAACCTCCTATTCATTGTTCAAAATCTTTTAAAATTATCTTTTCCTCCTTGAACCTTTTACTGATCACCAGAGAAAGAAGTGACCATTATCTCTCTTCTTGTCCTGCACATGTTTGGTCACTTGTAGGAAGGCACTTGTGACATGGTATTACAGAGCTGTCTGGTCTTTCTTTCTGGCTAAGGATTGTGGATATTATTGCATTTTGGCTGTGTGTCACTGACCTACTTTGAATTCCCAAAAATGCAAGGGCCATATCTTCTTTAGCTTTCTCTCCTCAAAGCTGAGTGCAGAGGTTGACATGGAGAAGTGAAAGATAATAGTATTTATTGTTGTTTTGTGGGTTTTGGTGTGGACCGGGACCTTTGCTACACACTTTACTCTCATTATCTCATTATCTTAGTAGAACCTCACAACAAGTCTATGATGTACCTGTTGGGTTTTTTTTAATCCACCATTTAGAAATGATGGAATGTAGACCCAGAGTGGCCCAGCCATTCACTCACTGTCACACAGCTAAGTAGGAGCAGAGCAAATATTGAAATTGGGTTTCTGATCTCAGAGCCTGTGCTCTTCACTGTTAGGTTTCATTGTCCCCCTTCCCACCTTGGACCCCGATGAGTAGTAGCCCAGTTCTTAAAAAGGAAGTTTCTCCTCAAATGCACCCCAATGGGGCTGCCTCCCCACCACATGACTGAGTGCACATGTGACCCTCCTATGTCTTTGCAATTTCAGGCGTACTTTTCTCAGCCAATGGTTGCTGCAGCTGTCATTGTCCACCTGGTGACGGATGGGACATATTATGGGGACCAAAAACAGGAGACCATCAGTGTGCAGCTGCTTGATACCAAAGATCAGAGCCACGATCTAGGTAAGCATGCTCTCCTGGGCTTGGCTTGCTCTTGGTACCTGCTTCCACCTCTGCACCATGACTAGTTGTGAGAATCAGCTTAGAATGAGCTTTTCCTTCCTTTCTCCCCTTTCTTGCTTATTTTCTATTTGGCATTCTGGTTGCCCTCAAATCAAGATGTGGTGATATATCCAGAGAAATCTAGATCTGGCAGATACAGGGATAAGGAGTCAATGGCCAAGCACTCCCTTCTGCCAGCCCCCTTTAACCTCAGATATCCCATATTATTCCCCAAAGACCCCAAGAAGGAGGGAGACTGAGTAAGAGCCATTTCCCCATTGTATATATCACCACCTGAGACCCAAAGAGAGGCACTGAGAGACCCCAAGTCACATGGCAGGTCAGGAATTACTAGTTAGATTTTCAGTGTCATAGCCTATTGCCTTTTACCCTATAACCGGGAGTGTTCATGACCCTCCACCCCAAGTGGGGACTGTATCACCAATATAACCTCTGGAGAAGTTTCCAATGGGAATAGGAATAGGAATATTGTAGGAGTAGGGAGGCAGTTGAGGAGTCAGGTTCTACCATGGGAGGGCCTGCCTAAGGGGAGGGCCTGCCTAAGTGCAGGGCCAAGGGGGAGGACAAGGGCTGGACTTGCCACTTGTACCACCCCTTTGCATACCCACATGTACTGAGGTTCAGAGAAGAGAGCCTGAATCTAGAGCTGACAGCTGAGGTTTGGATCCTGTCCCCACCACTCACTCACCTTGAGAAGGTGAGCAATCTTCCTGCCCTCAAAGCACGTTACTTAGAGGCTCACTTGCTTCATATACACAGCAAAGACAATGATATCCACCTTAGAGTCAGAGTGCGCTATTATTTGACACTGCTGTAACCATGCCTAGCACAAGATCAGAACCTAAGAAATTCCTATTGTCGCTACGAATTTCCTATGACACCTTCACACTTCCAGTCTACCCCGGAGAGCTCTGGGCAGCCTGGCTACTCCAAGCATTTGGAATTCTTGGCCAGTACTGAAGCCTGGACTTCAAAGCTGTGCCCAGACCATTCTGCAGAGAATGCCTTTCAAAGACCTGTATGAAGCAAGCAGGAAGGGGTCATTTCAGGGTCAGATAAAAGCCAAGGGATCAGGGAAAGTTTTCTTGTTTTGTTTTTATGCTTATTTATTTAGTTACTTTTAAAGGCAAGGGGAACCTATGAATAAGGAAGAGAAAGAAAACCCCTCTGGACTTAGCAGGATTCCTGGGAAATTTCCCTAAGTGAGAAACAAATATTTTCGTAGTTATTGTTGCATAGCCCAGGGCTCTGAGGAGAGGTTTTTCAGCAGAGTGGGGAAAAGTCTGGTTCCACAGAAGCTCTTTGGATCCTGCTACTGATGCCTGAGGCCTTTCTGATTTTCCCCTCCACCCCCACCATCACCATCTTCCTCAGTCCACAGCATCCCAGGATTCTCAGAGGCAGCTTCACCTCTGGAACTGAGAAGGGCACCTGCTTCAGGCTTCCACACGAGAGACTTCTCCTTACATAGCAAGTCTGCCAGGACATGGTTAGGATTATACCATTTTTTGGATGTGAAAACTGAGTTTTAGAGGCTTTCTGGAGTCCCATTATTAGGAAGGGGCTACACCATCATTTAAACTCAGGTCCGCCCAACACCAAAGCCAGCTTCCGTTTTGCCAACTATATCTTGCCACAGCCTTCCTTTCCTTCTGTCCCTTGTGTATCTTTTCTCCCTGGCCCTCTCCCTTCCTTCTTGGAGAATGGGAACCTGCTGCCTGCGTTAAAAAAATACAAAACAAAACTGAGGACTCTTGAGTGAGGCAAGCTTGGATTTTTCTTAGAGTTTTAGCCATACCCGGGCTGTGTTCCTCTGGAAAACCATCCCTGCCCACGATTCTCAACCTCTTCTGCAGACTAAGCAAGAGGTCCTTTCTTCTCAGGGCTGCTCCCAGGTTCACAGATTACTTATGAGAGTGGGCTTTTTACCCTGGGAAGCGCCTGTTGCTATGAATTATTTCCATCACTTTTCCAACTGACCAGGCAGGCAGCCTGAAACCCAGCAACTCAGACCAATAAGCCCTACAGCAATGTGGGAGGGAGGTGAGGGCCTGGGATGCTTGGCTGAGGGGTGGCCATTTGGGGGAGGGAGAGGGACTTTGGGCAGTAGGTGAAGGGGAAGCTGAGGGGGCAGGGAGGCAGGGGGATTGGAAAGATTTGGAACCAAGGAAAAAAAGGCAGACAAAGAAACTTTCAATCAGACTCAAAATCCTCACCGGCCGCCCAATGGTGCTTTTGTGCAGTGACATGAAAGGGTCTGGGGGCTTCGGGAAGGGCCCGTTGGGGAGGGCGTGACTGGCCTTGAGTAATGAGCCTGGCCCCTCGGCCCCTCTGTCTCCCCTGACAGGCCTCCATGTCCTGAGCTGCAGGAACAATCCCCTGATTATCCCTGTGGTCCATGACCTCAGCCAGCCCTTCTACCACAGCCAGGCGGTACGTGTGAGCTTCAGTTCGCCCCTGGTCGCCATCTCGGGGGTGGCCCTCCGCTCCTTCGACAACTTTGACCCCGTCACCCTGAGCAGCTGCCAGAGAGGGGAGACCTACAGCCCTGCCGAGCAGAGGTAAGGGACCCGCGGCAGACTCGCCCTGGGCCACTTGTAGCCGAGTGGAGACAGCGTGATTTTGAAGCTGGGTAGCCATTTGTGTGGCTGTAAAAAGTCTGTGCATTTCTCCCTTCTCCATCCATCCTCTGGCCTCTGGCCGGCTCTGCCTTTGGGCTTGAGAGGCCCATGAGTCTCTGAATTCCTAGGACAATTGAGGGAAGCAGGGTTGTGTGGTGAAAAAACCTCCTTCACCTGGCTTGCAGCGGCAGAATTGACAATAGCTTGCAGGATGACCCTGGAAACATCAGTTTCCTTCTCTGAGCCTCAAGGTCCTCATCTGAACAAAAAGAGGATTAGCTCTCTTTTATCTCTGAAATACTGGGATATTCTGCTTCCTAGGTGGCACAGGCAGGAGGCATAACCTTCCTAACCAAGGGGGATAGAGTGAGACTGGTATTTGCATCATCCTAGTTCACCATGTGTTTCAGAGATAGGTGAAATCTCTGTCTTCCACAAGCCTAGCTCCTATGACGTCACAAGTGGTCTAAGAGCCTGTCTTTCAACTGCATGACATCACTCCCTCAGTGCTTTTGAGCTAGCATCTATTAATGCACCTAGTTTGGAGCTATAAGGGAGTGGACTTTCCTGAAAAGAATACAAGTTTTGGGAATACTCTTACTTGGGTTTGAACCTCCACATTGCCACTTCTTGAATGTGTGTTCTTGGGCAAGTCACTTCAGTTTTCTGAGTCATAGTTTTCTATTTTGGAATAAGCAGATGAAATCTACTCCACAGGGTGGTTGTGAGGGTTAAATGTTGCACTACAGATAAAAGTGTTCCTGCAAACTGTTAGGCACTATGTAAACATAATGATTTTGAAAAGAATATTTATAACCACCTTTTGATGATGATGGTGCTGCTTCTGTGCACAGAATTTTGTGTAAAGTTCTTAAAGTTGGAGCTGGAAAAAGCTTCAGAGATTATCTCATGCATCTGACATGTCCAAACTTCTGTGTTACCATGTAGAATCACAGGGCCCAGAAAGGGGACAACTTGTGCAGAGCTGCACAGCATCTCTCAGATTTGTTTCATGAGATCCAGAAGAAGAGAAAGTTATGATTTTTGTCGGCTCCGCAAGAGTGAGGCTTTCTGAAAGTTGATTCAGTCTTGCCCTGTATACCTGGGGGGTAAGAAAAGAAAAGAGAAGAGGGGGACAACCAGCCTTTCCCACGCCCCTGTTACCACAGAGGACACAAAAGGTGGTTGCAAAATCCACATTGTTTAGCACCCACTGTCTCTAGCTTCTGTTGTGCAAAGTCTGTCGCAATCTTTCAGAAGCAAGAGCTTCTTAAATATAACTCATTGTCTTATTTCACTCTAAGAGGATGTTTTTATCCCTTGTTTTCCAGACCCTATAAAAATAAGCTAATTCTCAAAGCCTGGGGAAACCATGTCAATGGAAATCCATTAGACCTTTTCCACAACACTTTCCCATTTTTAGCCAGCCTTCCTGACCATCCATAAGTTGACCGAGGCCAGGACTGACTTGTTTGAATTCTCGATGAATGGTGTCTGTGCCCTAAGTAAACAGTAGGAAATATTTAACGACTGAAACATATCGATCGATATGTATTTGTTAGTTCTTTGGTTGTAGGAGGAACATTGAATGAGGGCAAAGTGCTGCCCTATATCTGACTAATTATGTGACCTTGGATTAGTCATTCCCCTTCACTGGGCCTCAGTTTCCCCATCTTTAAAATGATGATGGTGGATTGCATGGATTCTCTGCAGTTCTTTCCGGTTCTAACAGTGTGTGATTCCCAACAGCTAGGAAAGATGAGAGAGGACAGGAAGAGACAAACACTTGTTGAGCCCCTAATAGATAGGAACATTATCTTATTATTGCACTTCTTCTGTGAGGTATGGCTCAGAGAAACAGAGCGAGTGAGTCATGACCATCCAGGCAGTAAGAGGCAAAATCCTACTTTGTCTGTCTCCGAAAGCCATTCTCTGCCCACCACAGCAAGGCACAAGTAGCAGAGAAGAGGAATTTTCACAAGTGGACCCATATGCTCATTTATTCAGAGGAATTCTGAGTAAGGGGATGGAGCTGCAGCTCTGAGGTCTTTGGCTGACTTGTCCCTGAGCTTGGATCAGGCTATGACAGGCTGAGTCTTGAGGGCTGAGGCTGCAGAGCAGCAGCACCTCCTCCTGAGCGCCCCAGTGGGGAAAGGACAGCAGCTGTTCATGGGGAGCTAAAGAGGCATTTACCAAAACAAGCAGGACTCTGCAAACATGCAAATGCATTAAAACAAACAAACAAGGGAGGAAAAGAAAGAAAAATAAGCAGCAACTGTAAAGAGCCATGGGATGTTTTCCTTCATTCTCAAAACACCAAAATAAGTAGCATCACTTTTTATAGCACAAATTTCAGCTGGTTGTAAGAGAAACATCCCACTTTACCCTCAGCTGTTTCCCAGGTAGTGAAAAGTACTGTTTCTCCCCTCCCCTTCTTGTCCTCCCTCCCACAACCTTTCCTCTTCTCCCTGCATCTCTCCTTCTCTCTCCTCTCCCTTTTCTCCCACCTCTCCGTCTCTCTCTCTCTCTCTCTCTCTCTCTCTCTCTGTCTCTCCTCCTGAGAGCCGTGTGATGCCTACTGTGCTGCCTTGGGAGGAGTCCTATAGCAAAACCAGTTTGGGTAATGTGTTCTACCCTAGCTTCAGGGGTCTCCAGTCTCTTTGCAGTACTTGGTATAAATTCAGAGACCCAAGAAAACAGGATCAGTTTTCAAAGGAGAGGTCCAGTTGTGCAATTCTAGTCAAATCTCAGCCCCACACCAAGTTGTGGAAAGGAGAAAAGGTGGGGAGGGGAGCACAGTGGTGGGGTGTGGGGTGGTTAACAGGCTTCTTTAATGAGAAAAACTACAGTGGTGATGTTGAGGCTCCAGTATTTGTCTCTCTCACACACACAAACACACATGCACATATATCATGTTCATCCACCCTTGTGGTTCTTAACAGAAATTGAACAGTTTATTATAAAATTGAATGGACCATGTATTTAGAAAAGTAACTTCCTTCCCTCCTCCCTCCATTTATTCTTCTTTCCTTTCATGCTTCCTTTCTTCCTCTCACCTCTTTTTCACATTCTCTTTCTTCCTTTATCTCAAACTCTTCCCCATTTCTACATGCTGGTCCATTCAGATAAAGGCAGTTCTGATTGAGAGCTAAATTTTAGAAGGCCAACTTTGGGGGGAAACAAATTCTTCACATGGCTACATTAACACTTTCAGCCACAGAGAACTTAGACTGTTGTTGGTTGGTTGGGGGTGGGGGTGCCCAAAGACCGGAGCCAAGTATTTCTAGAGTCTGTGCCCTGATGAGACCCCATGTGTGGAATATCCCATTACATAATGATACAGGGATTCATAAGTAGGATTTGGAACACCGAATGAAGCTGCTCTTGGCCAGAGACCACAGATTGCTCAGATCGCTGCCATAATCTCATTCAACTTCCCCAACCCGCAAAGGAATTAGTGCCTCTCAGCATATTGATTGAGAATCACATCTGGGGAATATAACTGCAAATGGAACTGCTGTGCCTAAGCATGTGTATGTCTTTGACTATCCCAAATACTGCCTGACTCTTCTCCAAAATATTGTCCAATTCACAGCCCCATCAGTGATCTACCAGAGTTCCAGTTGCTCCATATCCTTGGCAATGCTTGAGATTACCAAAGACTACTTTTTCTTATTTTTCTCATTTCAAAGGGCTCTGAAATTATAGATCTCTGTTGTTTTGTTCTCATAAAATCATGAGGCCTGAAGGTGGGGAGGGCTCTCAAAGATTTCCTGGTTCTGTGCCCTCATTTGAGGATGAGAAATCTAAGTTCTAAGCAAGGGAAGTGATTCACCTAAAATCACCCAACAAGTTAGGAGGAAAACCAGCATTGGAATCTAGTTCTCAGGAATCCAGTTATCTTTCCTCTCCATCAGAGATTTCAAGACTGGTGTTCCATAGACCATATTAGTCCATAAACAATCTCTCTTTGGCCTCTATTAGTTATCTTCTTTAATTACTTGCCAACATTTAAATATCAGGAGAGTTCATATTAAAAACCAGAATTCTTCTTGGACCTCTTTAAAGAAATGAGAAGCTTTGAAAACATCAGGCCCTCCATCCCACTAGGCAACCTTCGACTGGAGCAAAGCACTCTGCTCTCTGACCAGGCACATACCCTCTCCTCGACACACCCCACTCAGTTCACCTGAACCCTGCAGACCACTGAACTTGCATCGTCTAATCTTCAAAATCTTGCCTCCATACCACACCACAATACTGGCTCCTGGAAATCCAGGGTAAAGAACCTTTTAGGATCATTCCCCCAGTAGCCTCATTTCTGGGTAGAAAATGAGGTCCTAGCACAGTAGCTCTTTCACCGTTTCACTTCCTAAGTGAACTTGCAGAATTGATGCCAAGAACAGTTTTCCCTGCATTTCCCAATGTGGAGCACGTGTCTTTTTTGTTTCCCCATCTGAGCAACCCAGAATGATTTATAAACAGCCTTTCTGTTATTATCTCTGCTTCCCTATGGCATAATTGCAGCTAAGTGGCAGGGCACAGCAGTTATACTGTGAGTCGTGAGTCGAGGAACAGAACCAGGAGAGGAACCCTTGTCAGCCCTTTAACTTCTGGCTTTATGCGGGTTCCAGAACTCTCCAGGTATCCTCTGTTATGCATGACTGGAGTCCGTTCTTATTGACAGTGGAGACAGCAGTGTGGGGGTTGGCTATTGGATCAGATATGGTTTTACCTCTATGTGGAACTTGAGTCCATAGGTAAATATATTACACTTGTAGATAAGAAGAAAAGAAAAAAAAGTTATTTAAGTATCTGATTAGCTCTGCACCCCAGGGACCTCCACTTTTGCCCAGGTGTGAGAATTTGGTCTATAGAATTACCTGCATCCTTTCCCACTCGTCCATCCAATCAGCCACCTTTCTCCCTTCAGAGAAGTG